CTTACTTGATAAACTTTCTGAAGGGAACCAAGGATATGAAGGGGAAATGTCTAGAACCACAACCCAAAAGGCTGCAGGGATTTTAGATGTAGACCAAGCTACTGCCATAAATGTCAAATTAGATGCAATGCAACATAACATGGCCCTACATTTTAAACAGATGTCTCTAAATCAGGCACCGGTAAACCTTGTACAACAGGCTGCAAATTGGTGTGAGGTATGTGGTAGTGGAACTCATGCAACTGAGCAATATGAGGCAAACCCAGATTTCGTAAATTATGTGGAAAATACGCAAAGAGATGGAGTTCAACAAAATTATGGCAATGCTTACAACCCTAGTTGGAGGAACCATCCTAACTTCTCATGGGATGGGAATCAAAATCAAAACTAGGCGCAAGGGGCTGACCAATACCGTTCTCAAGGGGATTCTGTTGTAGTAATGACTAGTTTGCCAATTGCATTTTCTCCAAGAAAAGACGACCTACATGTTAAATCACCCACACTCTTCCATCTAATAAATTTATCACAATTCACATGATAAGTATCCAAGACAAACAAGTATATTAATGTTAGACTCGTTAGTAAATTTTATTTAGATATTTGAAAGTGTTCAGTATATAGATATGTTATCAAGAAGTTAGAAGAAAGTTAACAATTTTATTTATGTCATATTCTTTAATTATACATATTAATGTCAACAAGTCGTAAAATTTCATACTTATTTTAGTCGATACATATTTATATAACTAACTTATGCCGCATGTTTGAGAACACACGCGGACTTTTAAATATATGATCCGGAAGTGTCTAATAAGAACATATTATCATGTGTTCATCAAATGCTCAATTGAAACATGTTATTATTAATGTCTAAATAAAATTTGTTGATAAGTTAAAAGGATTGTCAATGTATTGAACCTCAGTTTTATTAGGTATATAGTGTAATTTTCTTTTAATTAATTAATGTTGTAATGGAGAGTATAATTAATGTTATAAGAAGTATTTCAATATATAGCTTTCTTCTTAATTGTTTCTTAATCAGTCTAGGCTCGAAATATGAGAGGTGTGTCCATTCCCATAATTGTCAATTTATTACTCCCTCCGTTCTATTTTATATGTCACATTTTTACTTTGGACTTGCGAAATGATGTAACTTTACCCTTCTACCCTTATTTAATAATTTCTTAAGTCAACTTTATTAATAAATGACAAGATTAATTAACTGGATAATGCTAAATGACCAGAAAATTTGGCTAGAATTTAGCTAGAAATTTTTAAAAATTATAATATCTTTTTTATTTTGAAATAAACTGATCTTTTTTCCATTTTTTAGTTAATATGTATTAAAGTTAGAAGGATAAAAATGTTCAAAAAGGTAAAATAATATAGGGAAAATATCATTCTGGCCAAATTTTCTAGACAAAAGAATTTTTCCTAATTAACTATTCTATCAAGGGTATAATAGGCAAAATATGGTAATTTATGCATAAATTTTATAAAATGACAAGTATTGTGGTCCATCTATTTATAGGAAGGAATGACATATAAAATGAGACGGAGGGAGTATAACACAACTTGTTGAGTTAGAATAAATTTGGCGTGGATAATACTTGTCAAATTTTAAGATTCAATGAGTTTTGGTTCTAACTTGAGATTCAAATTGCAACTCCACATGTTATTATACCAAAGGTAGAAGATAACATAATATTATAGGCTAAGACAGAGTTGCTTGGATGGTAAACATCCTTCGCTTATAACTTTAAGATTGTGCGGTTCAAAAAAGGTATAAAAAAATATAATCTTCTATCAATATATAATAGGAAAAGAAAAATTGCCACATGTCAGCGCCACAAAATTAGTAGATATATTAAATAATAAATGACGATTTGTAAAACAAAAACAAAACAATATTTTAAAAAAATAAAATCAAAATTGTATTTGAAATTCCAAAAAATAAAAGCCGTATGATGGCAGTTAAAAATTTGTGGAATCAGTAGTCTTTTTAAAAATTAAAAATCAAAATTGTATTTGAAATTCCAAAAGAAAAAAACCGTATGATGGCAGTTAAAAATTTATGGAATCGGTAGTCTTTTTAAAAATTTGCCATCACTGCTAATTAAAATATATTAATTGCCATCACTACTGATTAAAATAAAATAAAATAAAAAATGAATACATACAACAACAAAAAACATATTTAATATTTTAAAAGTATTAACAAATGTTAAAATCATTACTATTTTTTAAATATCATATAATAAAAAATTCAATTTAAAAAATATTAAAAATCTAATTTTAGAAGAAAAAAAATCTGCGTAAACAAAAAAGAGATTCAAATAATCTGTTTATGCATAATTATAGATTTTTACTTTACTTTTAAAATTCCCATTATATCTATCTTCAATCTATATATAATAGGTGTAGTAAGAACTGACACCTATTAGCACCACATAAATTCTCGAATTTCTATACAATTAAAATTATTAAAATTAATTATATGTAGTTAATTTAAATAATGCATTACAATTTGAAAATCAAATTAGAAATTTTGAAGCAGTTTTTTAAATTAACGTGACATATTTTAAAACAATTTTAGAAATTAACATTATATAACTTTAAATTTAGCATTATTTAAGTGATATACAAAAATAATCTGAACTTACCTTAAATTAACATGAATTGTAAATAAAATATTATACAAATATAAACATTTCCGTAATATAAACAAAAAATGTTAAAAAATTTTGTTGCCATGTTCTTCCTTGAAGTGTTAAAAAACTTTACGTAAGGTTTTATTATAGAAACTTCTATTGTTTATATATTTCCTTTCAATAGATAAAAAAATAGTAACCAACTAAAATATGTCATGTACTTTCTTTTAAGAATAAATATATTTTCTAATTGCTATTTAAATTTAAATCGACAGATTTAAACAGCCCAATATATTATATCAGACTTTACATACATTTCGCATGAAGAATTTATTCATGGGATAAGCACTTTTTTTTATAAAAAAAATAAAAGAAAAAGAAAAATATAAAAAATAAATAAATATTAAATAACAAAAACCAATTATAAAATTTGTAATTACCAAATTAATTTAATATTATAAATTACGAACATAAAAGACCACAACAACACAAAAAATAGAATATATAATTATTAAAATTAATTGAAAATCTGAAGAAAAGAATGCAATTTACAAATTAAAAAAAAAATAACAACTCGCGGTTAAATTACCTTTTGAATTCCTATAATAAAGGATATTCTAATCAACCTCACTCCCGCATTTGCACATTCCTAAATTTACTCAAAAACAGTTTTTTATTTTCAATTTAAAAATTATAAAAGAAAAAAATAAAACTTACAAACCACGAAAAAAGTACTCCCACTTTCTATAACTTTTTCCTCACTGTCAATCATTAACGTTAACCAAATTCATTTCTTATGTAAAAAATTCTAGAAAAGATATAGGTAAGTATTCTTCATAATTTATATGAAAGAGATGGGAGACAAGTATTTGTCATACTATGACTCTTTTTGATTATTTTATAATTTTACTTCTACTGAGTTCTAGTTTTAGCGATTCACCATCTGCTTTACTTTTTCATTTTTTTATTTCTTTCGAAATATTGGAGCAAAAAAAATAATTTTAATCTTATAATTTTCTTTGAATATTAGGTTAAAGCAATATGAAAAACAATATTCATAGAATGCAATAGATGAACAAGATACATAGAAGGAGATATATATAATTGTGACACTGGAAAGACTAGCGGATGAAGGCTACATTTATCAATTCTCTAAAATATATTATTATTTATTCTTAGTTTTTTTTTACATGCATCACTATTTATATTGCAAGAATAAAATCAATATGAATAGTGACAAGGATGATGAAAGACTTGAGATGGTTCAGAAATGGAGATATCTTCATACTTTAGGTAATTATTTTTTTTTTAAAAATTTGTATTTTATTACTTTCTCATTCTTCACCCTTGATTATTTGGACAGTCTTATTTATCACGATGATAGTGGTTAAAAGGCTTAAAGTGTGAGCAACAAAGTCCACAACATTTTTTTGGTAAAATATGATACTAAAATACATATAATTGATATACAATTTTTAGAAAAATTAAAACTTCTTAGTTGTATGCTTGACATTATCATAATAGTAGGACTTTTTAATTACATTTTATTTTAATATAACGATTAAATTTTCTTATATCTTTATTATGCTAACAAGAATATAATAAAAATTGTGAGAGTTATTTATGACTTTGAATAATTTTAAAAATAAATAAGTTAAATAATACTAAAAATTATGGTCATCAAATTGAGACAATGAACTAAACTTATATATTGATTTATTTTCATAACTATTCTATTTTAACTTGTTAAGGTGTTAAATGCTAACAATCTCCAATGTAAATTTTACAATATCATTTTATAGTAGGTCGAATTTTGATATTGTCATTAAATTAGTGTTTACAATTACATTATAAACTAACCGTGCAACGCGCGGGCACAAATACTAATATACTATAGACCAAAATATTATGAACTCAGTTACTCTAAATCTTATATTTGTCTCTAGCTGAGTGATTTTGATGATATACGTAACTTATTTGAAAATTTCACGATAGTAATTAAGTAGTATTTTTTTATACAAACAAGATAATGTAGTAAACAATACTTCATATACTGCACATAACAAGTAGATCATGTAGCAAAGTGCTAGTGATTGCAAAAACATTACATTGAATTATCTAAACAAAAACAAAGGAAACAAAGTGGAAAACATACATCAATTACTTCAAACATATCCAAGTACCAATTATCAATATGGCTTATATATTGCCATAACACTATATATGATATTCAAACTAGAATCTTAGTCTACAATTTAATTCTTCCAAATGGAAAAATCTTATTACAAACATACACACAACATTATTCTTATTACAAACATATGCATAAAACATAATTTTAATCATATACTATATGTTATGAGAGTATAAATAGCACTTCTTGGCAGAATGTCCAGTAGTAAGAAGAGCAGAGAAGCCATTGTACTGTTCCTCTTTCTTGGCTACACATATATTGGCTATCATTTTAGTGAGTTCACTTTGGTTCACCTTTGATTGACTTGCATATTCTTCCATTGGCATCCACTACAATGATTTTTTTTAAAAAAAGGTGTAAAGTAAAGTTATAGTTCTTGGAAACGAGGTTCATTTTACGTGTCTTAATTTAAATAGATACATACTTTAAGATAATAAAGAGACTTTTGAATCTTGTGATTTGAAATTAAGCATGTGTGTAATGTATTAAAATGCACTTTGAATCTTATAGTCTTAAATATATACCAGATGAGATATTAGAATACGTAATTAACAATTATTATTAACTTCATGCAATTTAAATGTCTTATTATTATTTCTGGTTTGTCTAAAAAAGAGTATCTCTCTTTCCAAGTTTTCCTTATCCAACATCCTGCATGACAAGTTTAAGACCACAAGATTTAAAAACCTATAGACAATATATATCTTTAATTCAAGACAACAAGATTCAAAAATCTCCTTTTATTTATTAAACTTCGTGTTCAGTTAAACAAAAAATACTTAAATTAGGACAAAGAAAGTACTAAATATATGAAAAGTTACATATTTTGAAACCAACTAAAAGGAAAGTATGACATATAAATTGAACCAGCGTGAGTAAATATATATACCTTAGCTTCCTCAATCTCAGCATCTTGCTTGTTGATAGTGAAATTAAGTGGTTTCAGCATGCATATGAAGAACAAATCAGAATTTCCAAAGAATGATTTGTGACTTTGTCTGCATATAAATAAGGTATTTTAATTAACTTATATTGACATTTTATCAAATATAATTTATACTATACTTTCAAATGATTGAAAATGGATGGAAATTCATACCTAAAGGCAAGGAGTTCAACAAATTCTGTCTCAATCTATAAAAAAAATTAAAAATAAAAAAAGGTTCTAAATTAGTTTTCTAGCACTATTTTTTATTATTTTTCAAAAGAAAAAATATTTTTATTTTCATATCGAAGAATTTAGTAGTGTATATATATACTTACTCCTGTCTCTTCTTGCACTTCTCTAACGGCTGCCATACATATATCCTCCCCCTACAATTAGTAGAATTCATAAAAAAATAATTAATTTGCTACGAACTTCATCGTTAAATCACTAATAACTTTCTTAATAATAATAAATTAGAATACTAAGTAGAATCAGTGACGAATTTTACTGTTTAGCGATAAAATTTTTCAATAACAATTTCTATATTTTTAGCCGTGTATATCATTGACATGTTTTTTTCGTCAAATCGAACTAATCTGACTTTGGTACATTTTGTGTATGAAATTAGAAATGGTCCAAAATGATTTTGGCGTTTTTATTTTAATATATATATATATATATATATATATATATATATATATATATATATATATATATATATATATATATAAATTTTAAAATGCACAAGTTAATTCTTCGAAACTTAATGTATTGACAAATTTCATTTAAAAAGTTTATTCACCTAAATTGTTTTCTTTGTCCCTAAATTCTGATTCTCATTATGAAAGTTCCACTTAGAGTCGAGCAAACGAGAATTTATAATTTAAAATTCAAATAATTAATCAATTAAGCTAATAAAATTTTCTGTTCCGTTAATATATCTATAAATGGAAATGACTCGGAAAATATGTTAATACTAAAAAAAAATAATATGAACACATGCCAATGTCATGACAATTAATAATAAAATAAATTAACAAAAAAGGGGAAAATATAAATTTGTTAAACCTCATCAACAACACCAGTAGGAAGCTTCCAAGTCCCAGTCATATCTCCAGATTTCTCTTTAACTACCAGTACCTGCCAATGTCATATTTTTAATTAACTTTATACTTCTTAAATAATAAATTTGTATAATCGTATAACATATTTAAAGACCTTCATATACTTTAGCATGTTCGAGATCATAAATTTCAAAAAAAATAAATTGTATCAATTAAAATTATGTCACGTAAATTGAGACAAACCTGTCCGTCTTGGTTGAGGACGAAAGCACCAATACCAATACGATGAGAAGCATAAGCAGGAAAAGTATGAGGAATTTCATGAGGAATCCAATAAACAAGCATCAAATATGTTGCCTCAGCATGATGATACCAAAATCCTTCCTGCATTAATTTAATTTATCATATTATTTTTTTAATTAATTAAACACATATTTATATGAATTTTAAATAATCTAATATTAATAATTAATTATTAGTGGAATAATATTTTCATGAATATATTTACCTTTACTGCTGCATTAACAAGATGAGCAAGTTCTATAGGTAACTTAATCCAAACACCCTTCTTTCCCTAACCATCAAAATCAAAGGAAAAATGACAAAAATAAATTAAAATTAGTGAGATTTTTGTTTTCGATGGTAGTATAATTTAATTTGTTATAGCAGATTATTCTATCTACTAAGTAATTATTATGTATTAGGAAGTTCAATTGAGTTTGATGTGTCAATTGAACAATCATGTCATGCTTACTTTAACTTCAAAGTTATTAGCGTTAGTTCTTAAGTTGCAAGCGTTTGTAATTTAAATATTTGTTGAGATTCACTCATCCTCTTAATTGATAATTAAAAATCCATATAATATTATTTATCATTGATTCTAGGTTAAATTTATCCGCAATTACCTTTTGAGTGATCTTAATATATATAAATATATTTTCTACATGATACATATAACTTAAACTCAAATATTACGATCACGTAAATATCAAGTATATATATTATACATAAATACCTTTAGCCTCCAAAAAGAAATGGAAGCCTTGAGCATAGTATGAAATTTAAGAAAATCCATAGGCTCCTCTTTCTTCATGTTCACAATAACTCCTCCATAATTATCTTCAATTGCCTCAAATATCTCCATTTTTATGTCAATTGATGCTTCTTCAAAAGAATCCATTAATTCTGAGCTTTTCAAACAACTAAAGAAAGAAAGCATAATTAGGTAAAAAATCTGAACAATTTAAGTGCTAATCATAATTAAATATAATATTTTTCTTTAAAAAATAGTAAAGATATATACAATCAGATTTGTTGCATGCCCTCACTACTTCTTAGGTTAGACTCAGTTCGAAAGAATTTTTCCAAGAACAACAAATATATTGTAAAATAAGCGATAGTGTCACAACCCAAAAATGGACGTGATGGCACTCGTCTTATCCCACCAAGACAAGTCAGCTTAGCACTCACCCATTACAATAAAATGCGGAAATTTCATAATTTACTCAAAAATACCCCCAAAATCTAGTTGTCACGTGTACAAGCCTCTAAAATATTACAATTGATTCAAAAGAAAACACAAGTATCAAATGACCTTGTTTCTAGAATAGAAGTAGATCATAAATAGGAGTAAGAAGGTCTGCTGAGATCACAAACAGCTACCTCACAAATCTCCAAGAAGCCTCAGAAAATAAGAGAATGGAAAGTACCACAAAATCCAGGCTCATAACCTACAAAAAATTGTAGAAGCAAGGGGTGAGTACCAAACCACACGGTACTCAGCAAGTAAACCTCTAAACACAAGCTCAGGGGATAGAATACGGGTACTCCTTTCACCCCAACCGAACCTCCACAACCACAACCTGCATAAAACCAGCCCAACCTAACAGTTCACAGTTTACATAGCACCCAGCTCAACAACAATCACTTTAACAAATTACATATCCTCAACAACAAACTCAATATTCATCAATCACAACTTCCACAAAAAGGCACTCACAAATATCAGCAACACACAAGATCAAGTTCATCGAATAGAGGTAATCAAATATCAAGTACTTTCCAACCACCAATAAAACACATAATCATCAAGAATTAAGGATGTCATGAGATGCAATGCAATATGACACCATGAAATGATATGCCTCAGAATACCAAGTACTCTCTCAACCGTATATACATGATACTCCTAGGAAATACATCGAGAGTTCATGACCCATGGGGGACTCGCAAGGTCCATATACCGACACAGACGATCTCCACGTATCTGTGCGGATGATCTCAACGCACTTTCATAAAATAAACAAATTTCGCACGGACGATCTCCACGTGCCCAAATTATAATCTTAACATCTCACCATCCCCAGCACGTACGATCTCCACGTGCCCAACTTATACTCAATCTCATGTCAATGCATGTGCAGAATATGATTACAATAACAGGGATGATGCATCTCAATCAAATATCAATATGATATGTAATCACCTCAGCTATCACCAGTATACAGGTTCAATAAAGAACACAATCACACATAATAAATCAAGTCAATAATATATCAGCTAATGCCCATATGCTTTGGCATTCTCATATTACAATCCGCATTCTATAGTAATAAAATTTCCCTTTATAACATTGGTACTCGTACCAATGCCCGTCACCAACAATTCTCAACACATCACACACAAACAATTAATCACATTGCCTTTTATTACCCATTTTTCATTATTAGAATTAATCAATGTGGACAAGTCAACCCATCACCACGTCTCATTACCCCCAAACACATATTACAAGGAAATACACGAATTCCATACACTTAACAAGGGTTTAGAAATCCACTTGCCTCAAATAGTCGAACAATCACTCTGGGACTTGAGTCTCCGTCTTTCATTGGGCTCCAAATCAATACAATCTATCCAAACAAATTACCACAATAAGATTTTGAAATTAACAACACCCACATTACTATGTGTTTAGCCTTGAACCAACAATTCACCCAAATTCATAATCAAGTTTCTAAGTTTCAAGTCTAGGGTCAAGCTTCAACTTCTCCAATATCATAAATCTAATGATATTCATATAATTCGATAACCCAATAGTTAATTACCTATCTCAATATATTAAATATTTAATTTATAATATAATATTTAAAATAGGAACAACTAACTATGAAATCTACTGATCACGCAAATTCATGGCAGAACCATGAAAAGCACACGACAAACCCAACAACTTATCCATTCATGACAATGAGTACATAATTTCATTAATAACAATTACACCCACCTTAGTTTCAATTCAAATTTCCCTTTTGTTCAACCCCAACAACGTACTGACAATATTTTGTCTCTTTTCTTTTAAAAACCACAAATTCCAACCATATCCCTTAACAATAATATCACCCTAAGATATATATATATATATATATATATAATTTTACAAAGAATCTTGATTAGAACTTATAACCTGAATCACTTGAATTTTCCTGCTTCTTTGCTTTCTGTCGCACGTCTAGGTTAGTTTTTCTTCCGCCTCTTTCTTTCTTTTTTTCTAAATTAATTATGTATTAAAAGTAATAATTCCTACAAACCTATTTTAACAATTTAGACTTGGTCCATTATTTTTAATAATAAACAAATTACCCGCAAATTAATTAATTATAGATAAATGACTATTCAAAATTATCAAAAATGACCTTAGTCCGGGTCATTACAAATAGCTTAGTTAGCAAATCGCACCAGATGATATTTAGAGATAGATTCAAAATTTGAATTTTATAAAATATGTTTCGAAATTTACCATGCACAACCAAAAAAGTAAGAAGATTTTTTTAATTTGTATATTTTTGACATACCATGAGATTTTGGTGGATATCATGCTATTAATAATAAAATGATAAATTTAAAATTAAATTATTTTTAAATATAAAAATATGTTTTTTTTTCTTAACAGATTAACCAAAAATTAATCATGACATATAAAATGAAACGATGGGAGTAATATGATTTAGTACCTCAGAGTATATGGTAAAATTGGTCATAATTTATTATGAAAATTTTAATGAGCTAATCAAGTAACACGTGGAGACGCATATGCAAATCAGTAAATAAAATAAAGAAAAATTACAAATTTTCATAAGTATATATTTGCAAAATAATAAAAGTATAAAGTTATAAGCAACTACGAAATAAGTTTTTGTTAAGCTAATTAATATACGTAACGTACCAATTAGCAAAATATATTAGAGATTGATTTCTTCAGCTTGAGTAGATTGAAAATATTGTAATTATAATGCCCTATTTATACAAGCTGGCTAGATGGAGTTGACGGACCAAGACATGTAAACGTACCAATTAACAAAGAAAAAACCATACATTGATAAAAGTCTATAGAGGCCACTTGACATGCAAATGCAGAGAAATTCTATTATGAGTCATAATTAATAGTTATTGGAGTTGACGGACCAAGACATGTAAACGTGACTTCGTGTTGGTTTCTCTAACTTTAATTTCCACGTTATCATGTGTATGTCACAATCTAATACACGAATTCCGGATACATTCCTAGACTTTTGGATACATAGGGGATGGATGCATCCGAGAGGGGAAGAATGTATCAGAGAAGGGATAAGACATTCGGATACATAAGGAAGGAATGTATCAAAGAGGGGAAGAATGTATCAGAGAAGGAAATAATGTATTCGAGAGGGAAATGGTGTATCCGAGAGGGAAGGATGTATTAGAGAGGGGAATGAAGTATCCGAGAGGGAAGAAATATATTAGAGAGGGGAAGGATGTATCAGAGAGGGAGATAGAGATGTATTAGCGATAGCGGAGTGATGTATCCGAGAGGGGATTTTTGAAAATTTTTAAATGGTAGGAAATTTAGAGATTATGGTAAAACAAGATGTGTATTTAGGTAGTTTTTCCTAAAATAATACATATATTCTTTCATAACTTATACATATATATTAGTTATGAGAGTTTCAAAATTGTCGAACAAACGTCACCTGAATAACACAAACGTCATATTATTTTCTATCTACCTACCAAATGTCGTATAAGTTATATGAAAATTAATATAAGAATAACACTAACCTTACCCATCTACCAAATGACTCCTTAATTTTATATTATTATTTATATAAGTAGGTACATATAGGCATAGTTAAAGATATAATTCTCTTTGAAATTGTACATAATTAATTAAGAATGTGGAGAATATTTTTATATAAACAAACCTTTTTTTTTGGAGAATATTTTTATATAAACAAACCTTTTTTTAAAGAAATTATGTAATGCATGTCATTTTTAACATACTACACTAAACCAAACAGTAAAATAATGTAAGCATAACCCATCGATCTATAAGTTACTAATAAACATTATTGTTATACGCTCTATCAAATAATCCTTAAAAGTGGTAATGAAATGTTGTTTGTTAATCATTTGAATTAACAAATGTTGTCACAATATCATTTCTTTAAAATGGAGGGAGTAATCAATTTAGAGTTATCGTGAGAAAGTGAATATGATGCAATTTGAAGAAATAAAATTGATTATTATATGCATCTACATGACTAATTAATACTGGAAAATTTCGTAGGACTTTCTGAACAATTTCAGAGAAAAATGATCCTTGAGTATGATATGAAAACTAAAAATAAATACTTCTTCTTTGGATTCGAGTTGTCGCATTTTACTTTTCGAAAGTTAGTTTGATTAATTTTTTAAGTTAAATTAAATAATTTGATATTAAAAAAAAATACGAAAAGTATGTATAAATTGCAATTTTTCTCATATCAATATGATGAAAATATATATCTTAAAATGTTGATCAAAATTCATATCGTTCGACTCTTAAAAGAAATTGTGACAAGTATTTCGAAACGGAAGAAGTACTTGCACTCCTCAATTGATGTGTTTTTCTGTGTCATTCTCAAAAAGAGTCTCTTTCTATATTTAGTAAGTTTTTCAATTTCAATATCCTACTGATAAGTTTGAAGATCACAAAATTTTAAAAAACTAAACACATTTTTAATTTAAACTTTCTATATTTCTTAAATTAGCACAATTAAAGTAGTTGTTTCCACTTTGATTCTCTTGGGAATATATATGTAGACTATAGTAGATTCTGCATATATTAAAGTTCTTTTGTGGGATTCCATGAAGTTTAAAGTACGTACTGCTAATAATTCATATGGATTTCAAGATATTATTTAAAGAGGTAAATGATGCTAATTGCTCTTTAGAACTATATATAACAGGAGACAACACAAAATATAATATTATTGACGCTAATTACATGCTGAAATAATAGTTTTTCAAATTACTTTTTGGAAAAACTACCTAACTACACATACATCAATACCATATATACTATATTTACCTCTAATTTAAAACAAGAGTAAAGACATAAAGTGACACCTGAAGTTGTTCCGAATTTTCAATAAGACACTTTAACTATACGAGTGTCCTATTACCCCACGAAAGTAGTGAATATCTTTGTAAATAGACCATTTTAACCCGTTTTTCCTCTATGTTTGTTTTCACGCAAATAATGCGCGTGAATGATATATTTTTCTTCCAAAAAACGAATTAACAAGTGACACGTGTCAATTTTTTAAATCTATTATTTAATCACTTCCTCTCCCCAACTTTCCCAGTTCTTTCAAAGGATCCATTTTTGATGACTGGTGCTTTTACTCTATTTAGTCTCCTTGTTGTCTCTTGTTATGTTTGAATATTTAAATAAAGAAAAAAAAATCTTCTTTTCTCTTTAATGAAGGTAAGATTCTAACACTTTTTATCCTAAAATAATTTCTAACATGTGTTTTCCTCCAGAAAATCACAAATCCATGAAGAAAAAAATATGATCTTTATCAAATACTAAATAAACATGAAAATCCTAACATGGAAATTTCTTGTTTGCTCAGCTAATCCCCCAAGAAATTGACCAACAAACGTCGAAATTGAAATAGATAATCTTCAACAGAAATTGTAATTGAAGTGTATTTGAGAAGGAAAATAAAATACGAAGAAAGAAAGTGAGAAATTGAGAGAAAAGAAAAGAAAGGTGTACCATTTATCTTTTGAAACGATTCAGGTCGGGTTAAACCCGTATTTTATTAATATTTAAATTAAATTAATTAATTAAAAGGGGAGTGTGCCTCACGCGTGTGAGGTTGATGAGAAAACGAGTCAAAATGGTCAATTTACAAAGATATTTAATACTTTTGTGGGGTAATAGGACATTCGCATAGTTAAGGTGTCTTTTTAAAAATTCGAGACAACTTCAGGTGTCACTTTATGTCTTTTCTCTTAAAACAATTACATATACTACCACTTTTAATATTTATACCACATATTTTAAAAGATTTAATTAGATACACAAATCCCTTAAATATGGTATTGGATAATTATCTTAAATTTAATCTCCTTAATTAATGGTCCACATTAACAACTCAAAATTTTTATCACATAAATCACACCTGCCGTTCCCCACCCCACGTCCACTAACCCTCATTCTTCCTCCATCTTCTCCCTTTTTCTTCCTTCATCCTCTCAATGCATATTTGCATGTTCAAATCATCATTATACATATATGTTTGTTTCTATTATTTTATTATTCTCATGTATCTTGGTTTTGTATCTGAGTTAAAGTTCATAATGTTCTGACATTCAATTTTAAAAAGTTCTATAAATTAGGTTTTATATTTTTTGATTTTGTTGTTTCTCAAATACTTTAATGGTTGGTCATTCTCAAAATTAGATGATTCTTGTTAAAGGTACTACACATTAACAATATTATACTAAATCAAACAACTTCTATTTGTTATTTTCACTCATGAGTTTTTCATTGTAGGGACTAACTCTTCATCCGTTAACATTCAAGCCGAGAATAGATCTAAGTATAGGAACGACTCAATCAAGAGGGAAGAGTTATGCCAAGCTTTACTTAACATAATAAATACACTATTAGATATGCAACAATGTTGGATACACATCAGATGTACATGTATCTAGTTAAGAGTTGATGTATCTAAGTTAAAATTATATGTATTAGTGAGAAAAAATTCAGATGCTAAAAAAAGGAAGAATTTTGAAAAAATTTACTTTTTTTTTTTGGATTAGTGATAAGGCAAATACTCTAACATCGTGAGTTGTTCCTAAATTCGATTGTTTCAATTACATTCCATATTTAGATACACATAATTTATGTATATGCTTACAACTTACTATGTATTCAAGATATACGTTTCTGAATATAATGTATGAAATTGATACTTGATACATCAAATTAATACTAGATACATATGAAAGATACATGAAATTAAAATTAGATCATATAAATAGATACATAAAATTAATAATAGACACATATAGCAAATACACGAAATTAATACTAGATAGTTCTATTATACATATGAATGTACTTGTATGATACTCATGTATCTAAGTGTTTAAGTTTGTAGGATACATCATCTATTGATAATAGATACATCAAATTAATGAATTTATATAATATACTTTGTAAGTTATTTTAATAGATTTGCTACTTTTGTGAGTTTTAAATAATATATATCTTGTATGTAATTACACATATAACTAGTACATTTTATGAATATTCAAAAATTGCCTCAAAAAGGTTTTAGTTCTACTCAAATATTTGGTTAATTAGTTTAGTAGTTTATATTTTTAATAATTTAGTTTATAATTAAGTTGATTATTTTATTTTTGTTAAAATTAAGAAGCTCATTAATTAATTTGTACTAATTCATCTTATTTAAATTTTGGCCGAATTCATCGACTAAGTTTTTAACTTCAATTGGTTCTAATCATATTTCCTTACCCACCTTAAACCCATTTAGAGACCAAGTGTTGGGCCATTCAACAGCCCACCAATTAAATACAATATCACATGCCAAAAGAAATTAAAGACCCCCCAATTCTAACAACATTACAATACATACAGTTCCAAACAAACAGCAACCCAAGTCCCCAACCCATTCACGTTCTAGCCCACTTTACCCACTCTAACTCCTTTTTGTGTTCAAATTAACCTCCAGCCCATCCTTAGCTCCTGACCCGGCCCAACTCCAACTTCAGCAAAAGAAGCTGCCAACGTTAATAATTGCAGAAGCAGCAGCTCACAAAGGACAGAGCAACGTTCTTCAAACCGAACAGAGAGATTCACGGCGATAGACGGAAAAGCAAGCAAATTTTGTTCTCTTCTTCCCGTCCCTTTCATTCGCAGTCGCAGTACAGCAGTAGCAAATCGCGTGGGATCGTCCTTATGGCCTTGAGATGGAGCCACGTAACACACAAAGGACAATCGATCAATCCCATGCGTCAATTCGCCCTTCCTCTTTCGGAATGGGTTGAACTTTCAGAAAAAAGGGTGTTTGTCCAAAGGGGTGGAAGGTTTTGAAGTTTTGAATTTGGAATGGCCCTTGAACCCGAATTTTTCGTCCCTTTTCCCCCCAAATCTGCTTTAGTTCTTCTTCTATATATATAAATTTTGTTGTCTTTGCTAGGGGATTTTTTTTTTTCCCTTTGAGGCTAGCTTCACAGCTAAACCTAGAGAAAAAGTGGAAAATAGAGTTGGAAGAAATTATTTTTTTTTTTTTCAAAGCTGTAAGCATCATCCAGAGCTTACACTTTAGACACATATATTTTATTTTTTTTTCCTTCTCGTTCTTCGTGAGTTGCGGAGGAATTAGTCGGATTTCTCAAAGTTCTCATTTGTGGTGTTAAGCTCGCTCGATTTAAAGCTCGTTTGTTCCGGTTGCTGCTCATAAAAAGGTAATTGCTGCCCTTGGTAACACTCTAACCTCTGTCCCTTGTCCTCTCTCTCTTTTTGAATCATGGATACATCATTTTGATACTATCTGAAATGGCATGTTATGCCTTGGCGTAGTAGGAATATTTCAATATATGTTGCTTTCTGTTTGTCTTAGATGATTTTGGTATGTTTCAAAATGATATCGAACTTTCGTTTATTTTATGAGTGTGTTATCAATCAGTCTGCTTTGCCTATATTCCGTTCTGTCTTTGATTATCATCTTCTCCTGGGTTATTGTTGTGTTGGTCATTTCGAATCAGTCCTAGCATGATTTATCAAATTAGTATGTCTCAGTTGTTGTTTACCATTCTGTATTACCACAGGTTTATTGGGCGTGAGTTTAGCTTGTTGTTCTTTGTCTCGGGTCAATTAAAGTATAGTGTGGCTGCCTTTGCTAATCGTGATGTGTAACTCACTTATGCACATTTCGAAATGGTCTGTTAACTTTCTGTTAAGCACTTGGCAAACTTGATTGCTTATCCGTTTTTTCTGTTTATTAGATAGCATGTAATCCCTCCGCCCTTGATTGCTCGCTATGACAAAAGATAAGACTGTAGTTTCTTGTGATTAATATATGGTTAGATCTTTATATTTTGGTAATGCATCCTTATACTGATTGAGTCTTTCGTGGTTAGAATAATCGTCAGCCTAGATGTAGACAGAGGTTTCAGTTTTGCTGCTTTGTGTGATTGTCTAGGGTCTCTAGTTATACGTGAAAAGACAATGTTTCTTCTCATTGCCTTTAGTTTAGATTTTCATTATAAGAAGTGTCTCTTCATGCCTAATTCTGTTAATATATATATATATATATATATATATATATATATATATATATATATTAAATGAGTAAGCATTCGTCATTGCCCACAATTAAGGATAAGTAACTTTGAGTAATGACTACTGGGCTATTTAACTGCTTCTTTAAAGTTGTCATTTTCTTTTTATGTCTTACCGCATGGACTAATTACATGTTAAGTTATACATTCTTGAGTCAGTGTATATTTTCCTGTGAATTAGTTTATCCTTCCTGCACTTATGTTGATTGAATTATGTATTAACTCCTCTCCTTTGTTTCGTGTTTGCATGTGAAATCTGCTCAAGTCCCCACGGACTTTATCCTTGCATTTCCCTTGGGCCACAGAGGCCCAATTTTAGTTTATTTGAGTCAACCAGCCGTAAAATTGACGAACAGGTCTTGAAGTCGGGAGAATGTGAAAGCGAAGGAAGATTGAAAAGATTGGGCCAAAGGCCCACTCTGCATATAAAAAATGATTGTATTTTGTTATTGGGCCTAAGCCCATTTAGTCATTAAGTTTATTATTTTGTTAGAGTTTAGGACAGGTGAAAATTGGGCCTGAGACCCAAAGAGATATATTTCTTTTTATGTTAGTCTAGGACAGGTACCAAGTGTTGGACCAAATGCCCAAAAGGCATAAATCAGGCCCAAATACTGGTCCAGGCGGACAGGAAAACCAGATTTGGGCCCAACTCTCTTTCCCTCTTTACTTTACTATGTCCATTTTGCCTGTTAATATTTGCCGCTAATCTTAAGGTCAAAAGATTCAAATCCCCCGAAAGATACCCATTTTGAATTAATCACTTAACTAAGTTATTCGTCTTTACTTGACTTAGAAAACAAACAAATAAACAATTTTACAAAAATACTTCATTTAAATAATATTGCGACATTTTTCTATTTCTCCCTTAAAATGGTCCTAATTACAAAATTTGTTCAATCAAATTAAGTTAAATTACTTTAGCCAAATAAATTAATTATCGGATAACCGCATTAGCGGGTATTCTAGGTGCCTTAAAAACCTTCCTAGAATATTAATAGGAACCTCGAACCCCCTTTATAGTTTTCAATAGATTTACTGTTTTAGTCTTTTGAAAACAATAGTTTTCTCGATTTTTCTTAAAAATTAAGTGGCGACTCTTAAACCAATCAAAAATATATTTTCTTAATAAAACATCAACTTTTAAACATTAAATAGGATTCCTAATTTGAGTAGAATTTGTTCCCAAATTTTCCTACTATTATAAATAGGTCCTTATGGATCCATTATTAGGGTTCGACGTTTGATTTAGTGTACAAGAGCAAGATCTCAAGTTTGTAATAGGTTTTAATCCTTTAACTCTTCTATTTTTCGAAAATTGCATGAACGATTGTATTTTCTTGTTTTCTAATAGCATGAGTAGCTAAATGCCCTAGTTCTGGGGCTGTAGTTACGAATTGATTGTTGATTATTTGAGGTTGTTGAATTAATTTTCGGTTGTCAATACAAGTTACTTCTATATTCTTATTTTAGTATTTTTTACTTGCGCACCATAAGATAAATTTATTGTCTAATCTTAAAATCGGGAGAGGAGAGGTTAGATAGACCAGAGAATATAGAGAGCTCGGTCCACCCATTAAATTGAGGTGATTAGTGTTCAGGAGTGACGCCCAGATGAACACCTTGCTTGGTTACGAAATAGAATGAAATATAAATGCTCGCCAGTTAATATATTTATCCCCGCTCAACGATGTAGTTAGATATCTAACTGGGGTAGGCGACGAGAGGCGTATAACCCAGATCATATCATCAACCTTATAAACCAGTAACTTGACAACTGAAGTTAGTTCTAAGCCAATAATATGATACATGATATTTATTATATGTTGCAGCCCTGGAATTGCTTTTAACTTGCTTGAAACATTTTATCAAAGTCGTTCACAAGTAGTCACTTTCAATTAGTGCATAATTATTAGTAGATAAACAATAAATCATCAACTCTGGAAAAGGTTACTTTCTACTTTTAGTTGTAGAATTAAGTGAATATAAATTGATCATAAGTCCCTTGGGAACGATAACTCGTTTCTTAAAGAATCTATAGTACTTGTACGACCACGTACACTTGCGTGTATATTAGGGAGCAAAAAGTTTTTAGCGCTGCTGCCGGGGACTTAGAAATTGAGTTATTTTCGATCTTCTTTGGTCTACAATTAAAACTTTTAGATATTAATTACTTGATCTTAGCTTGTTATTGCAGGCACTTGACTTTCAGGTCTGGCTAGGAAAAGAGAACTTGTCGAACCATATAACGACCCCGAACGAGTTCTATGAGAGCGTAGAAAAATGAATCGTATGGAGCAAGGACGAGGAGAACTGGGTTTAGGTCTTCCGGGGAACATCAGGAATGGTAATCAAGACAACGTAAATAACCCGAAAAATGTGAACAACCAAGGAAACCCGAATAACGGAGGGAACGTGAATAACCAAGGTATACCCTCTGGCATTCCTATCATCCCAGCAAGGCATGTACGTGATGTGGCAGTCCCACTCTCAGCTAATTTGGCATCTAACATTAGGAAATCTCCATCGGGGGTAGATTTGAACTAAAGCAAAGCATGGTACAGATCCTCCATTCTAATGGGCAATTCACTGGTCTCCCCCACGAGGATCCTCAAATCCATGTTAAGACCTTCATAGATATTAATGATACATACATCCCAATTGGAGTCTCATCAGACTATGTGAGGCTGGAGTTGTTCCCATACTCATTGTTAGTAGCCGCAAGGCGTTGGTTAGATTCTAAGCCACCAAACTCCATCACTACTTGGGATTGTCTAGCAAAAAAGTTCTTGAGTTGATTATTTCCATCCAAGAAAACTGCTAAGCTGAGGGGTGAGATAATATACTTTATTCAAAAGCAAGGGGAGGACATGTACCAAGCATGGGCGCGTTTCAAACAAATGTGTAATGCTTGCCCACACCACATGCAAACTAATGAGGTACTTGCTCACACTTTCTTTGAGGGTTTAGACTATAATGCTCATGCTCTTCTTATAGTGCAGCAGGTGGACATGCCCTATCTAGAACAAGTGAAGAGTTCTTCGACTTACTTGATAAACTTTCTGAAGGGAACCAAGGATATGATGGGGAAATGTCTAGAACCACAACCCAAAAGGCTGCAGGGATTTTAGATGTAGACCAAGCTACTGCCATAAATGTCAAATTAGATGCAATGCAACATAACATGACCCTACATTTTAAACAGATGGCTCTAAATCAGACACCGGTAAACGTTGTACAGCAGGCTGCAAATTGGTGTGAGGTATGTGGTAGTGGAACTCATGAAACTGAGCAATGTGAGGCAAACCCAGATTCTGTAAATTATGTGGAAAATGCGCAAAAAGGTGGAGTTCAACAAAATTATGGCAATGCTTACAATCCTAGTTGGAGGAACCATCCTAACTTCTCATGGGATGGGAATCAAAATCAAAACCAGGCGCAAGGGGCTAACTAATACCGTGTTCATGGGGATTCTGTTGTATTAATGATTAGTTGGCCAATTGCATTTTCTCCGAGAAAAGACAACCTACATGTTAAATCACCCACACTCTTCCAGCTAATAAATTTATC